TGCCGTACTATGACATGGCATAATGAACAATGATACGGTTTTTGTACTGTGATTACTGTTGCTTTCAAAATAAATTCCATCTTGAAAAGATGGGCCAAGCATGCATTCTTGTATTAGCTCCACATCCGACATATGACCGACCAAAAATGCATGATACAATATACCAATCACTTTCAGCAAAGTACAAAACCACTAGGTGACATCACTCGCTCAGCCTGTTTTGGGAATCCACAAAATATGGATGGCCAAGATGCAAACACATCTTCTGGTGTCATAGCCATGCAACATACTGCAGCCATCAAGCTGCCTCACTAAAAAAGAATAACACAGTAATGTTATATCTTATAAAAGAAAAAAAAGCTCCAGCAGAAGAAAAAAAGACAGATTTGCCGGCGCGTGTTCATTTTTGATAACGTTCGGGTGAGCTTCGTTCTTTTGTACAGTGCTGTACTTTTTTGCAGATGGTGGCGTACTCTTCATAACGTTGACCTATGGTCTAGAAATAAAGAAAAATGCCCCGTCGGCGATGAGCGCCGCACAACCCGAAAGTGCTCACGCTTACGTTCGCGACACACATTCAGCAGAGAAATCTTTATTGATAGCCCATCACCTTTGGCGGATTGCATCATACGTGCCGCATCATCGCTCTTGCGAATGCATCAGCGGCCATGCCGTTTTGACCATAAGCGGAAAACAGCCTGTAATATAACGGCAATCCTATAACGTTTCTATGACGACATCAATGCCAAGATAACTTTGAAGTAGTCTCCCAATAAACCTTTTCGCACTTTTGCGGGTGTATAACTCAGGAACCAGAAGATTTTGGGTCTTAAAAGGGCATGGCCGTGAACTGCATCAAAAGGCCTTCAAGGTGGCTATTTCAGTTCAAGCCCCTTGTAAAGGTGAAACATTCCCCTCAACCGCTCGGCCATTACGCTACCCGCATGGGCAAGGATTGGGTGAAATGTTCTAAAGCTTGAAAATTAAGCTGGCTTCCCAACTTCAGTGCACCCGGCAGGGGCGGTGCTCTTCCCGAGCAGTCAGGTAAGAGCACGGCGCCAGTTGGCTGGAGACACTGCGCTTCCGGGGCCTGGTCTTCTAGGTCGGCTGGGTAAGAACACGACACCAGCTGGCTGGAGAGTCTGGGGTTCCGGGACCTGGGCTTCCCGGACGGACGGGTAAGAACACGGTGTCAGCTAGCAGGAGAGTCTGTGGCAGAAGCATCTGGGGTTTCCGACGTCATAGACTCTGTTCTGGAGATAGCTCAGCGCAGATCCGCAGGCGCAATCTGTCATGGATGAAACTGGGGTTATATGGTAGCCCTTCATGACACATGACGATATTGTAGATGCTCGTGCGCTAATGCTCATAACCAACGCCGTCATAGCCTATGTTCCCAGCACAAATTTTCGAACTATAATGGCTGTATGCGCAACCATTCCTATCGCAGATGCTCGTAACCGCCAATGTTCGTGTCACAGGTAATCGTCACACCGATTTGTGTAAACATAAAAGTTGCCTGGGCACAACGAACAGGAATCTATGTTCGGAGCAAGGGGCTTGCAACATACCTGTCTATAATATTTTGGTGATGGATAATTCGGGCTATGATGGAGTTCGTACATCTTCAGGGACCCTGACTGCCTTCTTAATTGTCAGAGAACTCTTGTAATGTAACAGTAGGGAAGTACGTAGAAACCAGAGTAACGCACATCGCGGATTTTGAAGAAGCGAAATGTCACTCACGATCGCTCTAATGAGGGTTTAAAGGCGCCATTATTTCGGTGCACGATTTTATGACGATATACTCAAAGCTGTTTTCCAGATTCCCAGCAGAAAGTCGCAGGCTTACGAACTTACGATACACGAATGATAACGGCTCAACGAACGTTGCGATGCGAACATCACCAGTGTGCAGGCCGGATCAGTGCCGAGACCAATTACACAGTTGAGCGCACCGAGCGCAGCCAGCCGCCTCCGCAGCCGCCGCCATCTATGGGCTTGCGAACGTTTGATATGCGATGTGAGCAGGCGCGCAGCAAGAGCCTTGGCAAGGGGAAGGGGCTTGCTACCGCGGGATAAATTTTGTCTGAGTTCTATAGTTAACAAACTGGAGAAATCATGCGTTCAAAGACTGGACGAAATAATTCGTTGATACTCTTCATGCTACAATAGTCCAGTGGATTCCTCTTAATTTGAAAGAACTCAGAAGTTTTTTCATAACTTCATTCTAAGTTCTACAGACACATTAACACGTGCCCGGGTCGCCGGTTGGATACCCTTCGCTCGGGTGGGAGGGGGTCAGTTTGACCCCCTTGGGATCTAAGTAATTAAGTGGGCTAGAGGCACCAAATTCACCGAGTGTGTTGACCTGTACGTGAACTTACTCAGGACAAAGTTTAAGGTTTCTATGTCAAGATCTTCGGGCGAAATAATGTCAAATAAGGTCAAATTCCAGGTTAGTCTTTAAAGGGCCCTGGAACCTAGATAACTGTTTTAAGTAAAACATCGCACGCTCATCTAAGGTAATTAAATTATTTTGGCCTTTTGAGGGTCATAGTGACCAAAATCATACAGGATCGCTTTGAGTTTTGTATTTAGATAAGTGACAAAGATTACGCTAGATGGTAAGTTCCTTAAAAAATGTTGACCTGGGTCAGTCTAGGTCAGTGATCTATTCTGACCTTTAAGAAGTCAATGGAAGGTGTATAATGGGGTTCCGGATAGCAATAAACTTGAAATGAGCACCAGAAACTACCCCATACAGCAAGCCCAAGGGTAATAAAACAAGGTTATTTTGACCTTGCCCTGACCTTCATACCTGAACTTAGGTCAATGTAATATGTCAATTCAATTGTTGTGTTGCCCAATGAAGTATCTCAGAGATGTATGGCTTCGCCTAACATTCCGTTGTTGGATCAGATTGAACGATTCCCTAGAATTTGCCCTCGCCGAAACCATGGCCTGACTTTGACCTGCCATAGGTCAATGACTTTACAAGGTGCATCGAAATATTTTATGGCAGACGATCTGCTATTTCATGTCCTACAGCAGTGCAACATTTGCCATGGTAACGCGGCGCCGCTCGGAAGTTATTCCGGAAAAACCTTCGGTGGATCAGTCCGACCTCCCTCCCGAGCGCGTGTTAAGAACCCCCACGAACGTAGACTGCAGATAAAACGGATCAACAAGTTTTTTTAATGTGGCATGTTTATGGAAAGGTTCAGAATTCAGCCAGAACCGACAAGGAATGCAAATCATGTGTCGTAATCTTGAACAAGCGCGCTCGCAATCTTAGCAACAAAAGCCTTGACACCCGGCGTTACAGTCTCCGTAGACCGCGCAGCGTCGGCCTGGCGGCTAATACTGAACTGTGGCCAACGGGTGGACAAAGTGATGACGCTCCTGAACGAGATACCTTTGAACGCTTTAGGGCATAAAATGCTGCATTTAGAAGATAGGTACTTATATTTCTCGTGGGCGATTTTTAAGTTGCTGATAAGAACGTATTAGCCTTTCTAGCACCGCGAAGTGCTGCTGGAATCTGGCGGCGGGACTGGAAGAGTTCAGATAAAATACATATTTTCACGTTGCTGTAACTGTTTATCTGTCCAAAGAACAACTTCAAAGTTTTAAAAGAGATACGCATAGTCAAATCTTTGATAGGTACGAATTAATTTTGAAAGACGTTCGGAACCATAATTTCACGACGATCGCTCTCGCGCGCACGACGCTCGCCGCCTGGTGTTGCTTGCATTGGTTAACACCTTTCGATTATACGAAAACTGTAACACAGGCCATTGTTGTAGTTACCTCCGAGATTGTGGGCGCGCAGGCGCAAATCTTTTGATGTCTTTCTTGTTTCAGTAGTCGATTCTTCCAAGGCTTGAACGCTCTCGTGCGAATAAGGGATGACCTTGATTGTTTTGGGCTGATTTCGGCCCATTCTATCCAACACCAATGACACCCCTTATTTCGTTCCGGGCAAGGGCTCCCTGAGCAGACCACTGGGGACACATTATTGTCCTGATCAAGGGCTGAAAGGCTATTCCGTCCAATCGCGGAGTGTCTTCCGACACGGCGATACGGACGAGAACCCCTGGTCGATCCGGAGGCGCTTAGAGGGATATATCATATCACATTGGTCTCTCCTCTGACGCGGTACTAGTATTGGTCCCCACAGGCCTGGTCCCTGAATAAGACCGCGGCCAGCACTTCGCGCCGTTAGAGTCTCCGATCGGGCCCTTGGTCGTCGGACCCGGTAAGCGCTCCAGAGTCTTCGGGCCTCTTCGAACACTGCCTCTGGCCGACTTGGGGCCCCTTGCCAACACAGGGCCGCTGTTAGGCGCTGTGAGGATCCGACAGGCGCTGAGATTCCAAACGTTGTAAATCACTGGCCCCGGTTTTGTCCCTGCTTGGGGAATGGACGCTCAGCCCCATGCTGCCACGGAGCCGGCTATGCTCCGAGTGGTTTCTGACAGACCTATGGGTTCTCGTCGACTCAGGGGGCCCCTGATCAGCGCGGTCCTTAATAATAAGGGGCTCTCGTAGATCGCGAGAGCCTGTTAGGACCCCTCGTAACTTAAGGGGGGCGGGGGGATTGGCACTCTCCCCCTGTGACCCCCGCCCGCGCTAATAGATGCGAACATCGAGTCCCCGGAAACCATAAAATTCAATCATCATTGAAATTCCAAGTGTTTCGAAGGAGATGCGAACATTAATGTCTGCAAACATTTGCGATTCAAACATTTCAATGAAAAATAATCAGCGATTTCCACCACCGGGAATGTGCATCTTAGCGCATAGGAACATGACCGCCTACCGCTTGGAATTAGCATGTGCCCCATCAGTTATCTCCGGTCGCCTTTGGCGATAAAAATATACAATAAAAAAGAAAAAGAGAACAAATAAACTTCCCGCTACAGCGGCGTACTTGACGCACCTGTTACATTCGAGTGCGTCAGATACCGGGCGTACTGGCGCCTTGCTGCCAGCTTGGGGTGTGACGGGTGTGACCCGGGGGGTGAATCAGGCATATACGCGTATTCATATATTTTAAAAGATTGCCGTTTGTCTCTAATCGTAGTCCGTGAGAGAAATTCACGATGTGGAGGGCTGCTGTGGGAAGAGACGTAAAGATCGAAGAGGCTGCCCCAGATGACGACTGGGAAACTGACCCAGATTTTGTCAATGATGTCAGTGAACAGGAACAAAGATGGGGAAGCAAAACCGTGGAGGGCTCAGGACGAACTGCCGGAAGTGTTGAGTAAGTTACCATTGACAGCTCCATTATTGTGTTTGGATGCATTATGATAGCTCTGCATGTACATTCTGCTTTGTTTTGAGACTCAGGTGGGTGTTATATTATTCTATAATTTTGGGCTCATATCATGGAGCTTATCTGTGTTTTTTTCTTGATATTTTAATGAGTAACACATAACTTATTTTTAAATGATGATGTTAGTCTGTGTGAGTGCATGTTGAGGAAGCCCATAGCCTCCATTGAGAGCATCCTTACATTTTGACTGTTGTGTTGTCTATAGACTCAGGCCTTTTGTCTGTGATGCACCTTAAAAACCACATACATATGACACAGTTCCATTATTAGTGATGCATTTGTAGCATGCTTATGTTACTGATATCATTAATCACTAGGCATGGAGTATTTTGATTTTGTCATGTCCCCCTATATGACCTCCATATTTGCACCATGGTGAAGATAGAATGCCTTGACTGTTTGTATGAGAGACAGCCTACAAGAAATGATTCACTGTTGGACAGCTACATGCCATTGCTCTGAACCTGTAGCATGCAGATACTTAGGCCACTCCTAGTTGCACCAAATTTTTTTATCAAATTACTAGATTTTGTTTAATTGTGACTCAAATATTTTTGTTTGACCTTTGAAATTGTTTTTAGCAGCATTACTTATTTTAAACATTGGCTCTCAATGATCTTCACATTTTGTTCTGAGCATATCAATAACTGGGCATTTTACCATAACTGTGTCATGTGTTTAGGAAAATTGGACCTGCGGTTATTTGTTAAAAAACGGGAAATACTTTGATTGCCAGCTTTGATGACAGAAAAGAAAGCCAAGTATTGGTATTTTTGGATTTATGATTTCTGTGTCATGTCATGGGGCTGATCTCAAGTTGTCCTGGAGATGCCACTCTGTACTCAATTTTTGCCAATTGTGGTAAAAATGTTTCATTCTGATAATCGACATGAAGCAACAAACAGTATATGCTCCTAAGATCACATCAAAGGCTGTGATGTCTGGATACTTTACAATGTTATGAAATGTTGCTATTTAAAGGAGTTAATACATCAAGTTTTCATACTTTGACTGCCTGAGGAAATTTATGTGTGGAATGACATTACATTTCTCAACAGTGCATCAAGGTCATTGAAATCAGCTAGATGGAGTATACAAATTTGTCATTGGCCTGTATATCATGATGACATTGAATGTGATGAAAGGCTAAAGTTGCACTACCATCTGTTGGAAGTGTTGACACATTCAGATGGACTGTTGATGCCTTATTGCTATTTTTAAGGATTTGTTGTATAGAAGGCAGCAGTCGCATCTTTTACAATATTTAGTTTATGGGAATGAGTGGTGAGGTCAAATTTGTGAGGACATTTGAGATAAAAGTGAGTTCAATTTGTTTCTTATTGGTAGGGTTGTTGTGGTCAAGGTTGTTGTGGAAAATTGGATCATGAGGTTACTGTCATGCCAACACCATTCATGCCAGATCTGATTTGGCTGAAAAAATTAATTGTTTTCAGGACAAGGTATTGCACAAAAGGTGTCTTTAGTGAGGATAGCTTTATTAAGGTGTTCACAATGCCCACTGCCATTGGTCCCACTTTCCAGCATCACCACCTGAAGCATCCACCATCATTTTTAACTTAGAAAATCAATGCCAATCATTGTGTGGAAATGTTGTGATGTCACATAGCTGACATAGTATCAATGTCATTGTTATCACCATGAAATAAGGATGAGAAAAAAGAGGAATCAGATTATAAGATAACCTAAAACATGGTTTCTAATTGAGACAGGTTAATCTAATTCAAATTAGAATCTAAAACATGTTTTAGCATGTGCTATGATTAGATGGCAATGTTTTATGCTGACAGTATTTCAACAGATTGATGGAACAGTTGATAATATGTGCTTGTATAGGTTAGGTCTGGAATATCACATGGTCTGCCAGCAAACTTGCCCTTGATTTAAGACAAAAATGAGGAACATTAATGTGTTTAGTTGTTTTGTTTTTGTTACCTGTATTTTTGAATGCCAGTGGATGCCCATTTGAATTGTAGTAATACAGTGCCATATTTGCTGGTACCATTCCTGGGATGTGTTTAGTAACATTTTATTAACGTACTTTTCAGCATGAAAAAGCTGCGTGAGGAAACTGAAAAAGCTGACCAGGAGATGAAAAAGCAGCAGGGGCCAAAGAGCTCCCACGGCTATGGAGGTCAATTCGGCGTTGAATCGGACAGGTGAGAAGCGGAGCTGTGACTGACCTACACTACACTGCAGACCTTTGTCAAACTATCAATGGAGTGGATAGGAAACAAAACTTAACATGGTCTGCATGAAATCAGTCTGCAGATAACACTGAGATCAGTATGAATTTTACACACTTTAGGCAGCATATTCTGCCTAATATCGAAATGATTTATAAATGAAATATAGCTGAACATTTCATTATAATACTTTCATATATGCGACAGAACATTCACATTCAGCATATTTGTAGACACCATGATCATTATTTTATTGTCAGAAAACACTGAAACTTGTGCTGAAAATTGCGCTCTTGTTTTTAAAAGGAAATATTACATTGTTTATCTAACTGATGGTTAACGCTGTCATTCCTATGACCGGGAGGATGTGATCAGCTGCTGAGGGTCGCTTGACACTGGGTTCGAATCCGGAAGTGAGGCGAACTTGACCACAAAGCCGGTGCACCACTGGCGTACGTGACCCTCATAAAACCCATGCTGAAAACAGCGACGCACAAGGATAAAGGTCGCTAAGCGGTGAGGAGATCTTATTTGAAATTTAGGAGGCAATAGGAAATGGCCCAATTTTCTATCCATGCAGCGGAAAGGTAATTTATGCGTAACAGTCCTTAAAGTTGGTTGATGTAAACACGCGGCAAAAAAGGAGCAACCCTGTGCTGACCGTCGACAATGATCTGTCCTTGATCCGATGACCTCCAAATTCGCGGCGCAATTAAACATTTGTGTGGGTATGTGCTGTTCGGCAAATATTCACCTAAACGTCTAATCACGATCAAGCGTCCCAGACATTTGAATATACAGACCCGGATATTTAACTTACAAAACGAGACCGAATGTTCAGCTCTAACGCGAAGCCCACTATTGCCGCGAAGACCGTGTGCGGTTTGCACGCATGACATCAATCGTCGAAGCCCCCTCGTGTTCGTCTGTCGGCCCGCTGCCGCCGTCTGAGCGGGGGTTGCCGAGCCTCCGCCATTGGCACGCCGCCCTCGTGTCCGTCTCTTGAGCTGTTGTCACCGAGCCTCCGTCACCCACGTCCCCGCCCTCGTGTCCGTCTCTTGAGCTGTTGTCACCGAGCCTCCGACCCACGTCCCCGCCCTCGTGTCTGTCTGTTGAGCTGTTGTCACCGAGCCTCCGCCACCCACGTCCCCGCCCTCGGTCCGTCTTCGGAGCTGTTGTCACCGAGCCTCCGTCACCCACGTCCCCGCCCTCGTGTCTGTCTATTGAGCTGTTGTCACCGAGCCTCCGCCACCCACGTCCCCGCCCTCGTGTCCGTCTCTTGAGCTGTTGTCACCGAGCCTCCGCCACCCACGTCCCCGCCCTCGCGTCCGTCTTTCGGCTGTTGTCACCGAGCCTCCGTCACCCACGTCCCCGCCCTCGTGTCTGTCTATTGAGCTGTTGTCACCGAGCCTCCGCCACCCACGTCCCCGCCCTCGTGTCCGTCTCTTGAGCTGTTGTCACCGAGCCTCCGCCACCCACGTCCCCGCCCTCGCGTCCGTCTTTCGGCCTGTTGTCACCGAGCCTCCGTCACCCACGTCCCCGCCCTCGTGTCCGTCTCTCAGCCTGTTGTCACCAAGCGTCCGTCACCCACGTCCCCGCAGAATGGATAAATCTGCCGTGGGCCACGACTACCTGGAGAAGGTGGACAAGCATGCGTCGCAAAAGGACTACTCGTCTGGCTTCGGCGGCAAGTTCGGCGTACAGAAGGATCGCCAGGACAAGTCCGCCGCCGGCTGGGATCACATCGAAAAGCTGCAGAAACACGAGAGCCAGAAAGGTATGCGTGGGACAGGGGCTAATTGGGGCTTGTCTGTATATGTATATAATGACCACGTTTGCGTTACACATGCCTTGTTTGCAGACGCCCTTGTTATTCGCATGCGGACTGATCGGCTCACTGCAGCCCATTATTTGCATGTTTCCTTGTATGCGGAGGCTACGTTTCGACATGACCGGGCCCGGCATCGACCCTGTCACCGGCGGCCCAGCAGGGCAGCTGCCGGTTCTGGTGCTCGCTCAGTAGCAGCGCAATTGGCTCCCGTGACTGAGGCGGCCGGCGCCCAGTGGCAGCGACGGCTGCCGGGCTATGCGGAGTTGTGCTTGGCGAGTTATCGAATCCACGTTAGGCAGATTTCTTGGAGGCCGTCGCGGACTGATGAAGGAAGGATGCGGGGGATGAGGTCTGGTCGCCAGAGTTCCAGGTTCTGTATACTCCTAGGGTGTGCCCCTGCCGTCACATTTCTACTGGTGTCCCTTTCATTGACCTGTGCCGACACCCTCGCGTCATCCCCCCCCCCCCCTCCGTCCCTCCCAGCCAGCCCACGAGAGGTTAGATATGAAACGGGGCTATGTGGAATGGTTACGTTACCGACCATAAGCCTGAATCATGTAGCGTGTCGAAAATGATGATGGTTTGAGGGGAGACACTGTGATAGCAGGAGGTATGTGCCGATATTGAAGTGTATTGCTTGTTACTGATGTAGGCTCTGAAACTATTGGCAAAAAGGATTTTCAGGTCGCGGTGCAGAAGCTTTACAAGACCGTTTACAGAAGTGCTGATTAGTAATATTTATCTATGAGATGTGAAAAACAAGTGATTTCTGTAACCGAGAACCACGGCTTTAATTCCACCCCGGCCATATCAAAATATGAACTGAAGTTTACCATCCAGTGATATGTAACGGATTTGAAAATGGCCGTGCTATGCTGTTTTGTTTTGTGGGAAGAAATGTATTGCTAAATGATGAATCAATAAGTGACTAGATGGCTTCAGGACTCCATGACATTGCAACATCAAATGAGGAAAGCAGTGTCATTTTCACATGCGATGCCACGCTGACTGTACCAGGGGGTTGCTCGCAGACAATCGACGTGCTATGTGCTATGTGATCATGTGGTGTTTTGGTGTGCGTCTATGACCGAAAGGTATCTTGATGGTTTAAAGCCGACTTGTATGGGTCATTTCGGTGGCTGGTGTGTGTGACCTGCTATTAGCACTAGCACGTCGTTGCCGGCGCCTCCTACCCCTTGCACGCAATCTCCTGGCTCCTCGCGCCGCCTCTTGCCTTCCCTGTTCCGTTTCCCAGCGTGGAGTGTGCCATCTCTGGTCTCCCCCGGTCCACTTCCCACACATCGGTGCCGTGTTGGGCGAAGCTGGCGCGTCAGACCAGCGCCGTGTCGTCATCCGATCCGGCTGGTCCTGCAGCCGTCCGTGGTGGGCCCAAAGGCCCCTGCGCTGTCCGGCCACACGCGAGGGCCGCGGCGGGACCCTGTGGGTCTCAGTCATGACCCTCTGACCACCCGCCCTCCCAGACTACAAGACAGGCTTCGGCGGGCAGTTCGGCGTACAGAAGGACCGCCAGGATAAGTCTGCCGCCGGCTGGGACCACGTCGAGAAGGTCGAGAAGCACCCGTCGCAGATCGGTAAAGAGACCCCTGCTGTCCGCCGATGACGGCTCGTGACGTCACGCCACTAACCGGGCTGGACACTCTGACACGTCTAACGTTCGATCGGCGTGCCTGACGTTATCCTTGCACCTCGTCTGCATTGGCGAGGGCACTTCACTGCTGTTCGCTCCGCCTGCGTTGTCGCCTCTGGCTGGGTTCCAGCCGCTCCTCGGGGCGGAGTTAACCGGCGGTGTTGACTTGCCGGTGTCTGATGTTTTCTGGGCGACGGCTTGGGATGTTTCCACTAACGGCTTACCGATGCTACGTTCTTCTTCCGTGCACCGCTCTCGGGTGTCGCTGCCTGCCGTGTGTAGTGCTTCCTCTAAACCGACGTGAGCGGGTAATCCGCACACCCAGGTAATTATCAGCTCGCGTGATAGGCTCTCTAATCCCGCGACGTTTGGCTGTGTGACTGCGGTGCAGCCTGAGAACCTCGCCGTCGACGTTCGGGGCTTGCGTGGGGCGCAGCTACGATACGTCGCCTTAACGCACTGTCATCGTCCGCTTGCACAAGCTATCGTGTCTGCGAGATCTTTCGAGGGCCTGAGCGATGACCCCCGAGTGCTGTCGTGTGCGCCGGATGGAGGCGCAGTGTGAGGTCATTGTGCGGGGCGGAGGACTTATCGTGTGACTTCAACCGCTTCGGTGACGGTGGACCTATCAGGCCTTGGCCCACCAGTGGGGCGGTATTCGATTACTTGTGCATGCAGCTGTCATACAGTATCGTGCTTCAGGGCCCTTACGTGTGCTTTTCCCGTCTGTCGTCTTGTCCTGGTCCTTCTCGAAGAGTCGAGCATGTGACTGCTCCGTGAAACGCTGCAGCATGCTGTGTGACAGCGGCGCGCTATGCTGCTACTCAACGGTGTTCCCTGTTGGGAGATGTGCGAGTTGCATTCTGGCGTGTGCCTAGCAGATTATGTTGCTTCCCACGTCGGGATGAGTTCTTCGTTACTGGCGCGTGCCATCCAGAGTCTTGCTTTCCACCCGCTGCACCCTTGTTTTCTTTGGATATGAATCAGTCGCATCGTCCAGGCCAAGGGTCGGCGATCGGAATACCGTGGTAATGAAAATACTGCTTGTAATGTGTGTGGGCTGGTACCTTTGGTTTGTGTCGAGTGAATCCTACCGAACGTCTGTGTGTTCGATTTTTTGTCACCAAGCGTTCTACAGAAAATATAAGGAACTGTGATGTTCATGTGGACGTCATGCCCTCCACGCCGCGGTCTCTTGGTCCCGCCGCGGCGTGATGTCAGTAAGCATTGCCTCCCGGGGCATGGCCTCCTTAGCCTGCCGCTGATGGCTGCCACTAACGCTGCCTCTTGCGCCAGACTACTCGTCTGGCTTCGGCGGCAAGTTCGGCGTGCAGAAGGACCGCCAGGACAAGTCCGCCGCCGGCTGGGATCACCTGGAGACGGTCGACAAACATGAGAGCCAGAAAGGTGGGCCGCGGGCGCTCGTGACCGCCGCCCAGCCTGTCGGGGGATCATGAGTGACGGGTGGTGGAATGGGGTGGGATAGGGAGGAGGCTGGCGATGTGTGGGATGGCGCTGCCCCCGTGGCAAACTCCTGTACTGGATAAAAATGAGCAGTGAGTTGTGACCCCGCGAACTGAGTGGGAGGCCGGCGCATGAAATCCTGAATGACAGGGTGGGGGGTAGGGGGAAGGAGGTAAAAGTCTTGTGCGAGATTGCGGGCCGTTGACGAACAGTGGCGCTGCATCTCTGTATGCACAAAGACAAGGTCGCCTTCTATGTAGGGGTAAGGTTAACTGCTAACAGAGCTTTCAAGTAAGTCGTAAAGGGCGTAACAACTGACGGCTCTTTGAGTGGTACATTTCAGATCTTTCGGCTGTGTTTTCGTAGGATTCTGTTTGTTTGCACTTTGTGCCGGACACGGGAAGCGAACCTCTTGAAGAAGTGGAGCAGAGAGCCCTGGAAATGTGCACTCTGGGGTGGATCGCCACGGCGTTTCTCTGTGTCATTGCCGTTTCCGTGACTGCCGACAGACTACAAGTCTGGCTTCGGCGGCAAGTTCGGCGTGCAGACGGACCGCCAGGACAAGTCCGCCGCCGGCTGGGATCACATCGAGAAGGTGGAGAAGCACGAGAGCCAGAAGGACTATGCCAAAGTAAGCTGAACGCCCCAGTGCCGTTCGTTGGAGGGGCTGCCTCAGGGTTTAGCGGCCGTACGGTTCAGCGGAGTCATGCCTTCACCACGGGCTGCTTCGGTGGTGTGTACTTCGCGCATGGCGTTGTGCAGCGATTGCACTTTTTATGCTTCGAATATATGTGGGTGTTTCGAAACGCGTAGGTCCGTTGGTAACGGATGTATTGTCAGCGGCCTTGGTTGCGGAGGCTCATCGGCTCACCGCGCACGCGCGTCTCCCTGTGGCGCGTCGGCGCTGACCGGCCCCCGTCGTCAGGGCTTTGGCGGCAAGTTCGGCGTCGAGACCGACCGGCAGGACAAGTCGGCGCACGGCTTCGGCGAGGACGCTGGCCAGCGCGTCGGCACCAACTACGAGCGGACCAAGCCCGACCAGGGTAAGTCAGGGGTGGGGTCAGGTAACAGGCCGCGGCCGGGGAGACTGGTGTGCTGACCTCAGAACTGGGCCGCTCCGCTGAGGCCGCTCTCAGCTGCCCAGGCGTGCTGCCGTCAACGTGTGGACGTATGGGGGACGACTGGCTGCAGTTCTAGGATCGTGTCTCCGAAATGCATCTTGCACACTGTTTCACCTGTGTCCGTGCGAGGCTTACATGGCCTCCCCCTCCTCTCTCCCCTGGTGCGCGTCAGCCGCTCCTCCTGACCGGTCGCTCTCCGTTAGAGGTGGGCGGCGCCGTCAAGGCTTCCAATCTGCGCGCGCGCTTCGAGAACATGGCGCGCCAGAGCGAGACGGAGGCGCAGCAGCGCGGCGAGGAGGAGCGCCGGCGCCGCCAGGAGCGCGACGAGCAGGAGAAGGCGCGCGCCGCCGAACAGGAGCGCTTGCGCCGCGACGAGTTGCGCAAGGCGGAGGCGCAGCGCGAAGCGCTGCTGCGCGAGGGTGAGGAGGCAGCGGCCGCTCAGCAGCGCCAGCGCGAGGAGACGCAGCAGGCGGCAGCGGCGCAGCAGCGCGAGGAGGCGGAGCGTGCCGAGCGCGAGCGTGCGGCTGAAACTGCGCGGCGTGGCGCCGAGGAGGAGGAGCGGCAGGCGGCCGAGCGCGAGCGGCTCCAGCACGAGGAGGAGGAGGGCCGCAAGGCGGAGATGCGCCGACTGGAGGAGGAGACGCGGCAGAAGCAAGAGGAGGCGCGGGTGAAGGAAGAGGAGACGCGGCTGAAGGAGGAGGCGGCGCGCCGTCGCGCCGAACAAGAGCGCGTGCAGGCGGAGGAGCGCAAGCGCCAACAGGAGGAGGAGGAAGCGCGCAAGAAGCGCGAACAGGACGAGCGCATGAAGCAGGAGTCGCTGCAGCAGCTGGAGGAGGCGCAGCGCAAGGCCGAAGAGGAGCTGCAGAGGATGCGTGACATGGAGCAAGCGCAGGTAAACTCACGTCTGGCGCATCAGATGGGTTTCTCCTTTGGACGAAACATCCACTGCTTCAGGACGGTAGCAAACTAGATGTCAGACCCGCTTGGTGAACGCTTTTAGTGTAGCTGTAGTCATGTGTTATAATTCGGTCAAGTCAGTGACGTCCTTCGTCGTTTCCTGCTCCCCTCCCGCGATACGCCGGCGTCGCCGTCGATCGAGGCGTTCGCACTCCTCCATTGTCGGCTGGACAGCATCCGGGGGCGGTGGCGGGCCTCGCCCGTGCTCAGCCCCCACCTCGGTGTGGTTGTCTGGCGCCCCTCACACGGACGGCCGCGTGGCCGGGATGTGTGGCGACCTTACTGACGCGTGCCCCACCTGCAGGACGCTGGCGGTATCGTGCAGACGGGCGTCTCGGCTCGCGCCCTATACGACTACAGGCCGGTGAGTGGCGGGCGGTGGTGCCGCAGATGGCGGCGGGGGGGCTGTCCGATCCACGCGGGTGGGGGTGCCTGTCCGGCCAGGGCGCTATGACGGCGGTGTGTGCGCTGTCCGAGCCACGCGGGTGCGGGTGCCTGCCGGCCACGGGCGCTGTGACGGCGGTGTGTCGCTGTCCGGTCACGCGGGTGTGGGTGCCTGTCCGGCCACGGGCGACGTATGACGGCGGTGTGTGCCGCTGTCCGAGCCGCGGGTGTGGGGTGCTGTGGCCAACACGGCGCCTGTGCCGGCGGTGTGTGTGCCGCTGTCCGATCCACGCGGGTGTGGGTGCTGTCCGGCACGGGCGACGTATGAGGGCGGGGGTGCTGTCGTTCCACCCGCGGGTGTGGGGTGCCGTCCGGCCACGGGACGACGTATGAACGGCGTTGTGTGTGCCGCTGTCCGATCCACGCTGGTGTGGGGTGCCGTCCGGCCACGGGCGCGACGTATGACGGCGGTGTGTGCTGCGTCCGAGACCCGGGGGTGGGGTGCCTGTCCGGCCACGGGCGACGTATGACGGCGCGTGTGTGCCGCTGTCCGATCCACGCTGGTGCGGGTGCCTGTCCGGCCACGGGCCCGCCATGTGACGGCGTTGTGTGTGCCGTGTGTCCGATCCACGCGGGTGCGGTGCCTGTCCGGCCACGGCCGCCTGTGACGGCGGTGTGTGCCGCTGTCCGGTCCACGCGGGTGCGGGGTGCCGCCCAGTCAGATGTGCGCACCCGCCAGGACGACGTGCCGCGCGAGGCCGCTCGTTATACAAGAGGATGCTCATGCGAAACCGTTCGCTGTTGCAGGTGGCGGTGTGCCGTACTCTGTGCAGGTGGCGCGTGATGGACTCTGTGCGTGGACGCAGTGAGGCGGAGCGGGGCTCTGGCGTCCTCAGACAGCCGTGATGTGTGTTTCAGCCGACGATGAGCTGACCTTCGACCCGGATGACATTATCACAAACATCGATAAGGTCAGTGCGTTCGTCGGCCATCCATACTTAAGCGATTTTCCGGTGCGTGTGAGGTAGTTCCGAGAAATGGATGCTTGGTGGCTTGGCAGAGTTGACTTCAGAGGCACTGCCTTGAGGTAATGTCTTGTCATATATGGTCTAAGCTCCACTTGAAGTCAGAGCTGTGGAACTATCCCCAAACTATGGAAGAGCAAGGGCTCGAAGCGTGAGCGAGCCGGCACACCTTACAAATGCCCTTATATTATGTCCAGCTGTCGGAAGATTCCTGTCAAGCTGAATACCAACAACTACCAGTGTGGCTACTAAATGGACCGAGGTTTCATGAAACAAATCGTACCCACGTGGAAGGATCCATTATACACTACGTGGCGGCGTTATCGGAAACTTGTTTTTCAGATGACGACGGTTGGTGGCGCGGCGAGTGCCGCGGTGCTTATGGCCTCTTCCCGGCCAACTACGTGACTTCTGTAAGTGATCTTTGCTCATGGGATGCCGCCGATTGATGATGAGCCCGCGAGGAGCCCGTTTCTGCCTCGGTGGGGACTCGGACAAGCAGCGCCGACGAATTGTCAGCGGCGGCGGCGCACGGACGACCCCCTGTGGGAGTGGGGCCGTGGTCTGAGCAGGCGGCATATTTCATACGTGTATCTGCGCCTCACGGCTGGCGCGAACTTGTATTGCCTTGTACGCTAGCGGGCAGTTCGGTAGGCTGGTGTAGCTGCCGTGTACATGTAACGCCGGCGGAGCCGTGTATTTCACTGGCATGGAATAAGCGTCGCTGAAGCCTAAACGTTAACTTGCTGGCCGGATCTCGTGTGCTTGTTGGGTGGCTCGAGTAGAACGACCGCCTTTTAAGTACCTACGCGAACGTCTGGTACAAAAATGTATGTTTTTTTCTTCGTGGCAATGCGTGTGGCCAAGCCCAATGTCGTCATCGCACTGCTCTCCCCCCCCCCCCCCTTCGCTTCCATCGCATGGGGGAGGGTTGAGTTTTGATCGCCCCGCGCAGAGGTCTTGTGACTAGTTTACCGCGATCCGGCGGTGTACGACATGGATGGGATGTGGAAAATGAACAAATGTAATTTTGTGATCGCTGATTTAGTGAGATTGATGTCAACGTCGCGCTGTATGATTATCTTGCCGAAGTGGTGTGATCAGGTGGTAAACGATTGCAAGTTCGCGCGACGCTGTGGCTTGCCTTTTTCCAGCCAGATAGGCATTTACAAGTCCATGTGACTGAAAGTGATTCGCTGATTGCTTTGTGGTCTCCCCCCCCCCCCCCCCTCTCCACAGTCGTCCAGGTCTGCCGGCACTCTCCCACGCTCGCGCTCCCTCGCGAGTGCCAAGCAGCCAGCCGAGGGCGCGGGTGGGAGGGCGGCGGACGCCACCGCATTGGTCCTCGTCGTGACGGTCCGGTGCGAGATGCCGTGGTGCAACGCTCGCGTGCCGGTGCGGGATAACCCGGCATTGCTCCTTGTGCCGTGTGGGATGCCCCGCCACCGCTCTGCATGCTGTCGCGGGATGCCCCGGCATTGCTCGCGTGCCGTCGCGGGATCCCGGCATTGCTCCGCGTGCGTCGCGGGATGCCCGGCATTGCTCCGCGTGCCGTCGCGGGATGCCCCGGCATTGCTCCGCGTGGATGCGTCGATGGATCAGTCGCGGCAATGTGTATCCAAAAGGGCCGGCGGGACGTCGGGCGCGAGCGGGGGCCTTTTATAATCGTTGTTTTATGACGCATCGTTTATTTAATAAATAAATCCTGGCCTGGCACAGGCAAGATATCGTGTCGTTTGTTTTCGACAATATTTGAAATCGAATGCCGCGTCTGCTGTCCGCTGTCTGGAGCTCCGGACAACATGCCCCGGAAACACAAGAGCTGGAAACAGCCGCAATATTGCCTGCATATATTGGCAGCCCATGAGTAGTTCGCCTGGGCCGGATCACACCGGGATTTATGGCTACTTCCCCGCACATCGGCGCCCTAAAGCCCAAATCATCATCAGTAGCGGGCACTCTGCTGTGGTAACATTGCGGGGACATCGCCCTCGACGCATGCGTCCGTCGCGGGCGATCACTACTGGGTGCGTTGGGACAGGCACCCAGTCACCAAGAGGCGCTACCGTTCCCGAGCACTTGTCCGCGATAGCTCCATGACTCC